AAGTAGATTACTGTGTATCCAGAGGGGGTGATTAAACACACACACACACACATACACCGCTGAGCCTGGATCCAGATGCAGTCATCCTTTGCACAGATCCATGAAAATCAGCGAGACTTAAATTAGCTACATGGATTAAGAGGATTAAATTAGCATATTTGCACCCAGATAAAAAACAGCAGGAGGGAGGGGGGGGGCTTAGTTAGGATCTTTGGAGCTTGTGACTTCTGCAAAACAGATGGGGCATCTGGCTATGGCTGCGAGGGAAAAGAAGAGGAGGGGGGAGAAATCTTTTTGTGAATTCGGCTAATTTCTGTGGTTCTAAAGAACTTCCAGAAGTCAATCCTGTTATAGCTGTTGGGATTATTTCGGTTGTATAGACATGGGATTTTTCTGGTTCGAATTTGCACAACATATACCGTGCATGTCAGCATTTCCTAAATAGATTTCATGCCTTGTATTCATTCTTAAAATAAACAAATCTTTTATGATCCTCCTCTTCTTCCTTCCTTCCTTCCCTTCCTCCTTTGGACTCAATTGGAGGACTATCTATAGTGGATCTATTCTAAGTCTCTTTTAGATGGGTCTTCCAGAGGCAATGGAAATGTTCAGTTCTCCTGGTGGGTTTTGCAACTTTAAAGGAATCCAAACTCAGATGGGGTCTCCAGAAGATTCTGACAATGGAATAGGGCAGAATTTAGAATATAGAATAGAATAGAATATAAAATGGAATGGAAGAATAGAATTTAGAATATAGAATAGGATTTTGAATAGCTCAGAATTTAGAATAGAATATAGAATAGCATAGAATTTAGAATGGAATGGAATGGTAGAATGTAGAATAGAATATAGAATAGAATAGAATATAAAATGGAATGGAAGAATAGAATTTAGAATATAGAATAGGATTTTGAATAGCTCAGAATTTAGAATAGAATATAGAATAGCATAGAATTTAGAATGGAATGGTAGAATGTAGAATAGAATATAGAATAGCATAGAATATAGAATAGAAGAATAGAATAGGATAGAATTTAGAATGGAGTGAAATAGAATGTAGAATTTAGAATAGAATATAGAATTTTGAATAGCTCAGAATTTAGAATAGAATATAATTTAGAATGGAATGGAAGAATAAATGTAGAATTTAGAATAGAATATAGAATATAAGAATAGAATATAGAACAGAATTTAGATTAGAATAGAATTTAGAATAGAATGGAAAGGAATAGAACAATAGAATATAGAATAAAATATAGAATTTACAATACAATTGAATTTAGAATAGAATTGAATTTAGAATAGAATAAAAAGAGTTGGAGGGGACCTTGGAGGTCTTCTAGTCCAACCCCCTGTCTTCCTGAGCCCAGAAATGAGAAGTGGACGCCCCAAAGACGCTGGAATGGTGGAACGCAAAGCTCTTGTGGGCCTCAGTTCTGCAGGCAAAATCAGCTTCTCATCCTCAACAGATGCCTGTTAATCTCTCTGGGTGAACTTTTGAAAAAAAGTCACATTGGATCACCAGCACCTGCAACTTCCTCTCCTCCTCCCTATTGTGCGATTTGATTTTTTCTCTCTTCCCGTCCTCCCTCTCTCTTGATGGGTTGAAAAAAGGTTGAATTCTTGCATTAATAGTCATGCAGTCAGCAGGAAGGTTTAGGAGCTGAGCAATACATGGTATTTCTAGGTTTTTCATCTTTGGTTGCTGTTTTTTTTTAAAGTATATTAAAGCACCACTTCCGCTCCGTTGGAGCCTGGGGTTGGGGACGGTTTTTGGTGGTTTAAAAAAAAAGATTTAATCCGTTGTCATTTTAACTGTTCTTCTATTTCTAAGTAGCATTCGTGTTTTGATTCCATTGTTAAGCTACCCAGAGTCACTTTGGACTGTGAGGTGGATGGTGGATTCAATTTATTAATAAATGAAAATAAATTCATTCGGCTGCACTGTTAGGTCACTTGGCTCGATACGAGTTTGAACATCGAACCAGGCATGGTCTAAATAAATTAAGAATCTTTTTGCGGCTGATTCCCAAGCATTTTCTCAAAAGCACCATCAAATTCCAGAGCTTTCTTCCAAATAATCCAGCCCAAAGGTCCATACACATATACTTAGTCTTTGACTTAAGACTACAGTAGAGCCTAGGATTTCCACCGCTAATCACAGCAGCTGTTTAAGTGAGTTTTGCCCCATTCTACGACCTATTTTGCCACAGTTGTTCAGTGATTCACTGTGATGTGGCCCGCCAGCAGTCAGACAGTGAGGAGGTTGGGAAGGAGCATGGGCCAGTCCTGGAGGCTGGGGAAGGCTATGACAAGGGCTCTGCATCATAGACAGAAAGGGGGCTAGGGCCACCAGTAGTTAGCAGCTGCCTTTGGAGTCAGACATCAGTGGGGCAGAAGAACAGCTGGAGTCTGTTCCCAGTGTGCGCATGCGCAGAGCTGCCAGAAAAAAAGAACAGCTAAGAAATCAGGGTCGACTTGGGAGTAAAGTCACAGGTGGAAGGTGAATGGCCCCTCCCACAGGGAATAAAAGAGGACCGAAAAGAGGGGGGGGGCTTTTGCAGGAAACAATTCATTCATTTGTTCCAGGAGTGTGAAGATCTGTCTGTGGATCTCAGGGACTCTGTGCCCAGCCTTTCCTTGCACAGCACTCATTTGGAAAATATTTACAGGGCAGTTTTCCACACTAGATAAGGACTATGGTCATAAATATTCCTTTGAAAGACTGTTTTGATCACACGGCCACAAGGTTGCTGCAATGGTTGTTAAGTGTGAAAAACGATCCTAAGTCACTTTTCCAGTGCTGTGGTAACTTCAGCCACTAAATGAATGGTTTTAAGCGGAGATCTACCGCTTTGGCCCTCAAAATTCACAGAGAGAACAAATGCTAAGGATTAACCAAGCATTTTGTAAGAAAACCTGGAAGGATTTTCTGGCAAATGTACTTGTTTGCCAGGGGAAATTTCCCCACAAATATGTGAACTTGGTGAGTCAGACACCAGTAAGACACTGTGACTTTCATTAAAAAGCTCCAGGCGTGGGGCGTGCTCCCATCTACGGCCTCAGAGGTGATTTCACTGCTGGAGTAATTTCTGCCAAGGGATCATGATCAGAAAGGAGAAATCATAAGCCAGTGAATATTTATACTTGGGAATAATCTAAGGCACTTTCACTTTATGCCTCCCTTCAAATGCATCATCCCCTTAGAACAGGGGTCAGCAACCTTAAACATAAGGTCATAACCGGAAGCCCCCCGTTCAATTCTGGAGCCGACTAGAAGTCCGGTTCCCCCACCAGAGTCTCCTCTAAGTGTGGAGTACTTTTTCCTCTGCCGACTGGAAGTCTGGTTCCTCCACCATAGTCTCCTCCCAGGGCGACATCCTTTTTTCTCTGCCAAACAAAGTCCAGTTCTCCCACCATAGAGTCTCCTAGTGCAGCATCTTTTTTCATCTCCCTATCCTAACCGAAAGCCCTATCAATTGTGAAGCCGAGCGGTGACAGGGAGCCACAGCAGAGGGATGAAAGAGCCACATGCAGCTCCAGAGCCGCAGGCTGCCCATCCCTGCCTTACAAGGAAGGGACATGAGAAGATTCGAAGACGGATTTGAAGATGTACAGAAGTCCTTAAGGGAGAGGGGGGGGGGGAAATCTTAGAAATGCCGACGATGACAGAATGTCAACTGACAAATGGAATAATAAAAAAAAACCACCACCACAGCCAATCAAAGCAGGCGAGACAACGTGAAGTGTCACACCGAGGCTGGGCAGTGAAGCTCAGATTTCTGGCACTTAGTTTTTAAGTTACCAATTGGTTAGAGTTCGGAGAAACCTTTCAACCGAATGCCATTTGCAGAGCAAATAAATTAGACTCCAGAATTAAATGTTTTTTAAAAGTTTTTTCTTCCCACTGTTTTGAGTACACAGGTATGTTGCTATTCGCTTGAAAGTCCTGGAAGGCAAGGGGACTGCCTTTGAATGGTTTTCTGTATCTTTGAATTGCTAGTTCCCACTGCACCAGGCTGAAAACTTTTTGTTTGAAAACAAATCATAGTCAAGGCTATGGTTTTCCCAGTTGCAATGGATGGCTGTGAAGGTTGGATCATAAGAAAGGCTGAGCGCCAAAGAATGGAGGCCTTTGGTGCTGGAGAAGACTCCTGCATTGAGTCCGTTGGACTGCAAGGCAATCCAACCGGTCAGTCCTAGAGGAGATCCACCCTGACTGCTCTTTAGAAGGCCAGATCCTGAAGAAGAAACTCAAAGACTTTGACCACCTAATGAGAAGGAGGGACTCTCTGGAGAAGAGCTTCATGCTGGGAACGATGGAGGGCAAAAGAAGGGGACGGCAGAGAAGGAGGTGGCTGGATGGAGTCACTGAAGCAGTCGGCGTGAGCTTAAATGAATTCCAGAGGATGGTAGAGGACAAGAAGGCCTGGAGGAACATTGTCCATGGGGTCGCGATGGGTCGGACATGACTTCACAACAACTGTAGCCTTGAATTGCTAGTTCCCACTGCACCAGGCTGAATCTTTATACGCACACCGGAATGGAATGGAGGAACACAAAAGAGAGTGTGGCAACCCGGTGTTCTAACATTTTACAGCCATTTCACTTGTCCTTCCATGGGTTGTTCTGAATTTCCTTAAAGCACTTTGTGGAAAGCTTTATTCCTTTTCTTTAAGCAACCGTTTCTTATCAGCAGGAAAAACACACCAGCACGTTGCCAATTTCCCACGGAAATTTAAGACAAAACAAATGAATACAACTAAAGGTTGTGTGAAGTATCAGATGGATCAGAGCAGCAGAAAGTTGGGGGTGATATAAATAATTCACATTTTTTAATTTATATTTTTCTATCCATCTTCTCCTGGTTTTCCCCTGCCTTGGGCTTTTCAAAAAGGGCAGAGTAATTGGCTTAGTTAATAACCTTTTTACGGACAATCAGGAACGCATCATCCATGACTGTCAACGGGGTACATATTTCGAGACTATTTAATGAGAAAGAATTACAAAAGTTAGGTTTTATTGCACCTCGGAATTAAAAATATAGACAGCAAATCACTTTTCCTTCCTTCAGGGAGAAAAAAAAAGGAGAGAGGGAGGGCAAATGAACGAGACAGGAAGAGGAAATGGCTAGGGAAAAGGAAGAGGAACCAGTCGGGTTTAGATCATTCAGAATGAAGCACAAGACGCTCCCCTCCCAATGGTGTCTCCATGCCCTTTTAAGATGCTGAGCTTGGAAGGAGGGGAATTTGCGGGGGGAGGAAACACTCATCAGGACATATTCAGAGTTCATCATGCTTCGTGGAGTCCGAGTTGGGCTTGATGAAAACGCCCTCCATGGCTTTCCAGTAGTTGTGGTGATTAGCGGAATGCATGCCGTGAACTTCCCGCTGACCCCGGATGGGGTGCCCGTATTGTTCCCCCGTCACTGACAGGAACACATCGGTTCCCACATGCTTGAAGCGCACTGCGTCGTCTCGTTCCCAGAAGGTTCCGCTGCACTGAACCATCCACACATCTAAGTCATCTCCTTCACCATCATCTCCAAAGGCACTTACTTCCTGTCAAAAGGCAAAAACAGGGTGGGAGAAAAAGATGGTTGTGAGGATGCATCTTTGTGGCGTGATGTAAGCTGGGTTTACACTATAGGCTGAACCATAAGCCACAGTCTGCAAACGACAAGACAAAGCTGCCACTTGACGGCTTAAGATCCTGGATAGACAAGAAGGCCATCACCTTAATCTTGCTAGCATTAAGATCTGTGGACTTCAACTCCCAGAATTCCCCAGCCAGCAAGATGTCTGGGGAATTCTGGGAATTGAGGCCCACAGATCTAAAGTTAGGAAACCCTGAGCTAAATTTTGTTGGTTTAGCCGGGAGCACGGATACAGTTATTGTGAACTGTGGTTTAGCCTGTAAAACTGAAAGGTGGCAACCCAGGTAAGAAATGATAAATTGGGACCAGGACTTTTAATCAGCTTGGAAATAATGATCTGATTCAAATTACATGTATACTGTGACTTGCTGAAGCATGAACTGCAAATTAAATCATGAGTACATACACTTGCCCTGCTTTAGTGCACGATGACTTAAGTCAATATTTTCTAGAGCAACTTTATCCCTTTTTAAGGCATCAAAGGTTTTCAGCGAATGTCTACAAAAACAAACAGAAACTGGGAGCAAAAAAAAAAATATGTTGCCTTAGATAATGTACTTTCCCTCATCCCTGTAGCAGTTTCAGTAAGTTTAACCTGCTAGTAGAAATAATCAGATTGTTATACCAGTTACAAATAGCTATGAATCACTTTGATAGTTTCTAAACCGCAATGTACACACTGTATGACACTATTAACAAACCACTCACACCAATGTCAAGTAGAATGTTAACGACAGAGGTAGGGAGTTATCACTGACACATTCTCCTGTTCTATATATATATATCTCCAGAGCAGTTACTAATATAAATAGTAGTGGAAAATGCTGGGAAGTGCTCAGCAGGGAGAACTCAAGCAGTTGGAAAAGACTGACCCCTCCCCCAGCCTTATCTAAATAGTCCTTAGAGAATGTTGCCAGACTGGGGAGATTTCTATATTATAGGCAGAATATAATAAAGTAGCTTGAACTTTGCAGGTGTGGGCCTGACCAGAAAAAGGTCACAAATTCTACTGTAGAAAAAAATGGCATTCTGTTCTATTCTACAAAGTAGTCCTTTAAATGGATTTAGAGACATCTTGCCATTTGTGTAAAATATATCTGAGTACGAATCATGTTGGAAATGTATTTTTTCACAGTAAGAAACAAACAGAATACCTCGAACAAGCTTTAAGGATTTTTAACATTGGAACTGCCACGAGCGTGTTAGAAATTCATTTTAAAAATTTACAAAATTGAGGGCACCATCTCATCAAATGTAAAAAAAATTAGGCACAGCAAGACTTCTTAAATTTGTATAGTTATGCTGTACATCAGGGGTCCCCAGTGCATGGCATGCTACAACTGAGTTGTGCAAACAAGTGAAGCCCCATCCGTGGGATGCAGGCAGCATGCAATCTCCCCCCCACCCCCCGGGTTCGAGGAAAAACCTCTCTCCATGCAACCGGCCCCAAGTGCCCAAAAGCTTGGAAGCCACTGCTGTATATACGTAGTGTCAAATGGTAGACAACAAATTAAAAAAAGCACAACTGAACCTTTCAATTAGATAAGCATCCAAGTTAGAATATTTTGGACATGTGATGGGACACCCAGAAAAATATGGCATCCTTCATTTAATCCTCCAGGGAAAGATTGAAGGCAAATGAGGTCCAGGCAGAAGAAGAACATCACGGTTTCAAAACCTAAAGGGACTAGTTTGGACAAAATTCAGCAGCACTTTTTCATACGGCTGTTGAGAAAAATAGGATTGCCAACATGATCAGCAACATCTGATAACGGATATGGCAGAAGGAGGAGAAGCAGCAACATCCTTTCTAAAACTGCAACTCAACAGTAGAATCAATCAGATTTAAAGGTATCCCTGCAGCTGAAATACATCGGGTGTGAAATAGGTGGGAATACTCCAAGTTTTACCTGGTTGCTGGAGAGCGGTGATGAGAAGTGATGGGTGTGCAGATTCTTCCCTGTGTTGACATGAGTAAGGCGGACTGCCTGCCCGCATTTTACCGGTATTCCTCGTTGGCAGGATCCGTCACTTCTGCCCCTGATCCGCCAATAGCTGTTGGCATCATCTGACGCTTCGACTCCAGTCACTGACTGCTGACCACTACCTAATAACAAAACAGTGACCCACTCATCAGTGAATTGTTGCACTGACATTATTTGTCCCCAAGAAGAATGGACAGAAAACAGAATAATGACGTTGCAACTGAAGTCATTTCCCTTTTTCCTGATCCATCAACAGCAAATGTGAACTATGAAATCTCTCTTTACAGGGTTTTTACTGTTTACTTTGCACACTGGCAGCTCTGGGAAACTTCAGTAATGTCTCCAAATGTACAGGTAGAACATCAACAATACAGAAGCCATTCTAGCTTTGAATGACAGACAAGGGACTTTCCCCTAGATATTCCGCCAATTGCTCCAAAAAGGTGACTCAATTCAATGGAAACTGGTCTGACCGAACCGGTTCCTTAAAAATTGATGTTGAAATTTAACAGCCAGAAGCAATCTACAAAGCGGAAGCTACAGAACGAGCAGAAGACAGAGGGCATTGTTTCCCCCACTCCTCTTTATCCATAAATTCTATCTGGGACCAGTAGGAGCAAACTGGAAGCAATAACAAATAGAGCTGCTTGATATAGCAATAATAAGCATAATAATAATGAGGTTCAATAGCTTTCCAGAGGTTGAAGAGCAAAGCAAATGCCCTCCAACCCTATATAAAGCTCATTTTGTACAGTATACACACACACACACACACCGGGTTAAATGTAACACTCAGCCACAGCAGTTTTGGGTTTTATTTCCTGATTTTATTTGCGGAGAAGACACACAATTGTCCTCCTTTGATAAACCTTATACGGACAGGTTGGCAAAAGCCCAAGAGGTGATGCCAAGGGAAGGGTCCCAGCCTACCTGGAGGGGTGGTGGTGAGTGGCTGGATTAAACCCATCTCTGCAGGTACAACCCATTTGTCGTAGAGCTCTCCTATTCAGGAGCTGCCTATCTGAAAGACAAGCTAAAAGCTTCCCCATCCAAGCAGGGTTTAGACCCATCTTTCCTTGTAGCTGCCATCCGTAAGGCACCCTCCTGGTCCAAGAGCTGTCTATCTGAAGTTCCAAACAATATCATCTCTATCCCCAGGGTTTTAGGGCAGGTAGCCCACATCCATGACAGAGCCTCGCCGTTCAGGAGCTGCCTATCTGAATGCAAAGCACCATCAACCTATCCCTCCCACCCCCAGATCAGGGGACTTAGGCCCATCTTTCCTTAGCCCCCATTCATAATAGAGCCTCTCCATTCAGGAGCTGCCTATCTGAATAGAAGGCATCATCACCCGCCACCCCACTTAAATACTTAGGGCCCTCTTTCCCAATAGACACCCCCCCCCTTCAGAACAGAGCCTCCCCATTCAGGAACTGCCTATCTGAATAGATAGCAAGTATAAGCAATTTCACCTATGGCACTTTGTGTGTGTGTGTGTGTGTGTGTGCTTAAACCCACCTTGCCAGGTAGTTCCTCTCCGTGATAGAGCCTCCCCATTCAGGAGTAGCCTATCTGAATAGAAGGCATCATCACCCCTCCACCCCATTTAAACACTTAGGCCTGTCTTTCCTGATATCCCCCATTCATAATAGAGCATCCCGATTCAGGAGCTGCCTATCTGAATTCAAGGCCCCATTAACCCCCCATCCCTCCCCCAAAGCACTTAGGCCCCTCTTTCCCAATAGCTCCCCCCTTCATAATAGAGCCTCCCCATTCAGGAACTGCCTATCTGAATGCAAGGCCCCATTAATCTCCACCGCCCCCAAAGCACTTAGGCCCCTCTTTCCCAATAGCTCCCCCCTTCATAATAGAGGCTCCCCATTGAGGAGCTGCCTATCTGAATGCAAGGCCCCATTAACCCCCCACCCAATGGACTTAGGC